CAACTGATAAAATGTTTTACATTGTTACATCATTAATGTAGAGTAAAAATATCAACTGATAAAATGTTTTACATTGTTACATCATTAATGTAGAGTAAAAATATCAACTGATAAAATGTTTTACATTGTTACATCATTAATGTAGAGTAAAAATATCAACTGATAAAATGTGTCACATTGTTACATCATTAATGTAGAGTAAAAATATCAACTGATAAAATGTTTTACATTGTTACATCATTAATGTAGAGTAAAAATATCAACTGATAAAATGTTTTACATTGTTACATCATTAATGTAGAGTAAAAATATCAACTGATAAAATGTGTCCCATTGTCACATCACTAATGTAGAGTAAAAATATCAATTAGTAAAATGTTTTACGTTGTTACATCACTGATGTAGAGTACAAATATCAACTGATGAAATTATATACATTGTTATTTAAACCAATGTACATAACTGGAAAGTTACACTTGAGGTTAAAATTTGAGTATTGCACAATTCACAACTGTCCTGGTTCTTGTAAAATCTTGTACACAGTACCTAAATGTTCTGGTTCATGTAAAATCTTGTACACAGTACCTAAATGTTCTGGTTCATGTAAAATCTTGTACGCAGTACCTAAATGTTCTGGTTCATGTAAAAAACTCTACACAGTACCTAACTGTCCTGGTTTATGTAAAAAACTTGTACACATTGCCTAGCTGTTCTAGTTCATGTAAAAACATGTACTCATTGTGTAGCTGTCCTAGTTCAGGTTGAAAACTTGTACACAGTGCCTAACTCTCCTGTTTCAGGTAAAAACTTGTACACAGTGCCTAACTCTCCTGTTTCAGGTAAAAACTTGTACACAGTGACTAACTCTCCTGTTTCAGGTAAAAACTTGTACACAGTGCCTAACTCTCCTGTTTCAGGTAAAAACTTGTACACAGTGCCTAACTCTCCTGTTTCAGGTAAAAACTTGTACACAGTGCCTAACTCTCCTGTTTCAGGTAAAAACTTGTACACAGTGACTAACTCTCCTGTTTCAGGTAAAAACTTGTACATAGTGCCTACCTCTCCTGGTTAAAGACTTTATGTTACAAGTAATGACATTTTTTTTCTGTGTTGTCTCTCATGTTTTATTCCTTTATTCCTAACTCTCCTGGTTAAAGACTTTATGTTACAAGTAATGACATTTTTTTCTGTGTTGTCTCATGTTTTATTCCTTTATTCCTAACTCTTCTGGTTAAAGACTTTATGTTACAAGTAATGACATTTTTTTCTGTGTTGTCTCTCATGTTTTATTCCTTTATTCCTAACTCTCCTGGTTAAAGACTTTATGTTACAAGTAATGAAATTTTTTTTCTGTGTTGTCTCTCATGTTTTATTCCTTGTTTGTAACTAAGTCACTGATTTGATTAATATTCTGTACTTTGGATTATAAGATTTTCATTTTAGCAGCAATGGTGGCCATCTCTTTCTTTGTAACTATATTTTTAAGCAGTCAATTCTGTCATATGTAAGTGTACTAGTTTTTATAATGCAGCAGGTTAATATTGCCATGTTTCTTTTTGTAAATATATAATTATGTTTTCTTTATAAACATAGTATAATTTAACTTGAAAAACCTGTTACTTTAGAACTGGAAACTTGAATTTTAGAGTTCACTCTGTGTTTTTAGTATATAACTGTTTTGTTTATGTAAATAAATGTTTATCAAATAATTAATTTGACTTGCTTTTTTTTAGGAATGTACATGGGTATGGGTGGAAACCCTTATGGGCCTGCTGGTACAGGAAAGACCGAGTCTGTAAAAGCTTTAGGTGGGCTTGTGGGAAGACAGGTTTTAGTTTTTAACTGTGATGAGGTAAGAATTCAACTATATGTTTAACAGCAATTTTTTTATAATGTATTTCTAGGTTTGAGAAATTAGAATGATGTTTTAATACTTTATTTATTAAAACTTCATTTGTTAAGTAAGAGCTAGCTAGTAATGTTTATTTTAGAGAATATTTTTGTTTTATTTGTAATCTGTTTTCTTCAAAATATCCCTTTTAATATATGCAGGGTATTGATGTGAAATCCATGAATCGAATTTTTGTGGGGCTGGTGAAATGTGGAGCTTGGGGATGTTTTGATGAATTTAATCGACTCGAAGAAGCCGTGCTTTCAGCTCTTTCAGTACAAATACAAACCATCCAATCTGCTTTGAAGAAGAAGGTTCCAGAGATTGAACTGTTAGGAAGAAAAGTAACTTTTAATGGAATAACTTCTTATATTTAATACTAGTCTTATTATCACCTCTACTCTTTATGTAATTAGTATTGGCTATTATGGAGCATTTGGTAGTTAATTTTCACGTACAAGTACAAGGTCCTTTAAAATTTCAGACCTAAGTGTTTGACAAATAACCAAATAGAACAAAAAATCGAATGAGATATCAAAAGATTTACCCATATTTATATTTTATTTATTTTATCTTTTAGGAATAAACAATAGTATATTTTTAATTATGTTAAATATTATAAAAGTTAATAACTAGGCAGAAAAATTAATTAATTAATTAATTTCTAGTGATAGAGCTAAATATTTAAAAATAACAGTACAGAGTTGCAAACGTTTTACGTCATCTTAATATATTACTACAAAAATTATTAACAAATTTGAATAAAGGGATACCTGTAACAAAATGTATAAGTTAACAGTTGGTATTGTTTGTGATAATAACTTCTTTGTAAGAACTTGTGAGTGAAAGTAAAGAAGAGTGCAATAATATGTCAACCATACTATATCTGCCAAATCCAGTGACGACAAGGCCTTTTGCCTAATCCCAGCATATAAGATAAAACATAGTTGGAACCAGCATTTGTTACTATCAGTATTTCATAATGTTTGAATAAACTGCTATATAAAACAAAAAATCATAAAAGGTTGAACTGATGCTAGCTTTACAACAGCTGGAGTAATTGTGAAGTTTTTCGTAAACAAAATAAAAAAGTGTTCAAGTTGAGCTGATGCTTGATAAGCTTGTTTTATATATTATTAAATAGTTTTATGCAACATGAATTTGTGTCCTGTTATTTGTTTGTATAATTATCATGGGTGGTAACTTTAATCAGTTTTATACACAACTTCTAAATTTGTCTTGTTTTTATTGATTTTTTCTACCCATTTTCTCAATTCGTATATGTATTTTGTATTGATTCTATTGTACTTATCATTAATTGTATCATGATGTTTGTCTCGCACAATAAATCTGAATTGTATTTAAAACAATTCTAAGGTGCTAATTAGGCTTAAAATAATATTAATTGATAGAAAACTATAAGTTTATGAGAGGATTTGCATTAGAGGGCTCAAACTTAAATTTTGGGAGATGATATAAGTGTAAGTTACAGTATGCAAGGTTACTTAGAATCTCAGTCAAACTTAAATTTTGGGAGATGATCTAAGTGTAAGTTACAGTATGCAAGGTTACTTAGAATCTCAGTCAAACTTAAATTTTGGGAGATGATCTAAGTAACCTTGCATACTGTAACTTACACTTAAAATCTTAGCCAAACTTAAATTTTGGGAGATGATCTAAGTGTAAGTTACAGTATGCAAGGTTACTTAGAATCTCAGCCAAACTTAAATTTTGGGAGATGATCTAAGTGTAAGTTACAGTATGCAAGGTTACTTAGAATCTCAGCCAAACTTAAGTGTTGGGAGATGATCTAAGTGTAAGTTACAATATGCAAGGTTACTTAAAATCTCAGCCAAACTTAAATTTTGGGAGATGATCTAAGTGTAAGGTTACTTAGAATCTCAACCAAATTTAATCTAAGTGTAAAATTTAGTTGTTTATATGTAGCTTATACATCATAAATTCTTTATGAGTGAGGCATTGAAAATAGGTTTCAGCTTGTACAGGGTTTCTACACCCATTGATCAACAGTCATTGTGACAGTTTCTTTTGTTTGGTAAGATGATCAAGGTTATCTATATATGAAACTCAAAGTCTCTCTGTTTGCTTGTTTTTCTACCACGTTCACTGCGCTGGTCATATTTCCTTTCCACGAAGGAGCGCAAAATGGCATTTTTTGTTGATATATATACGTGTCTGTTGTGTACTAGCCGAACCAGTAATTTTATTGTTAACATATACATTACACAAATTTTGTAATGGCATTTTTTAGGTAAGTTTGAGTTAACATTTAATTTAGAATATAGCATTATAAGCCTATTTAGTTATAGATCATTAACTATACATCTACCAATACGTCATATATTAACCTAATACACAAAAGAAATGTATGAAAAATTAGAATGTCGTGTGTGAAAAAGTAAACAGTAGGCCTAGCCTATAAAATAAAATTATGCCTTCTGCCATAAAATAGAATAAGTAAATAAGTAAGACTTAAATTATAATACTTATTGTATACAATAAGAGTAAATTCAAGTCAGCGTAACTGGTACAGCACTTGCATAAGGTGGAAGATGGGTTGAACCTGGATTTTATTATTACCATTAGTATAGACAGGCCTATTTAGTTCTAGTTTATTAATTATACATCTACTAATACATCATATATTTAACCTTACACATAAAAGCAATGTTTGCAGAATTAGCATGTTGTGTGTGAAAAAGCAAACAGTAGGCCTTACCTATTAAAATAAAATTATGCTGTTTACCATAATAATTTAATTAAAATATACTACGTGAAAAGAGTAAGGCTTACATTATAATACTTATTGTGTAAAATGAGAATAAAATCAAGTCAGCTAATGTATTTTATTCTACTGTTTTTTTCTCGGGATGGTTCGATACCGGGAAGTGGATGTTTTTTCTTTTAATACATTATGAAGTACAATATTGCATTTTGTTTGTAGTATATTTCATACATCATGATCAATGTGAATACGGTATCACATTCATAAAAATGTATTAAATTTACATGAGAGCAAATTGAACATGATATTAATACATATTTATGTTTGAAATTTGAATATTTAAGGAGGGATGATGGGGGAATAGAGTTAGGCTTATCCTGTTCACCACAACGGGTACTCATACATGTATATAATTACCTCAATAATCTCCATAAGGGCCTATTTATCCTTGCCAGTGAAGAAAAAACAATAAAATCGTTCATAAGGAAGTCTTAATTTTAAAAGAAGTTTGTAGTTTATTTTCAAAAATTAAACCTAAGGTTTTTTTTTATAAATTCACAAAATATTTTTTACTATCAAAATTTGGAACGGGGATACAGAGAAACTAGTTGTTTTTCTAAAACCCTGGCAATGCTCGGTAACACTGCTAGTTTGTGATATTTTGTAGACAAACAACATTCATTCAGCAGCTCTCAACCAATTGGTGGATACATCTCTCTGTAAATAATATTTGAATTAAAACTGTAATAATTACTGTAAAATGTGTAAACTAAAGGTCTGCCTTCATATATTTGTGCTTAACTGAGAAATGTTAAGCTTTCAGTATAAGTTAGATTAATCAAGGAAAAACTTCATGTTCTAATCTAGGTCTTTTAAATGCAGAGTTTTACAATAGTAAGATGAAGTTTTTATTGACTGTTTGTATATTAAATATTCAGGTGGATATAGATCCAAATTCAGGAATCTTCATCACGTTGAATCCTGCTGGCAAGGGATATGGAGGACGACAAAAGCTGCCAGATAATCTCAAGCAACTGTTTCGTCCCGTAGCGATGTCTCGGCCAGACAACGAACTGATTGCTGAAGTTTTACTTTTTGCTGAAGGCTTCAAGTCTTCTAAAAGTCTTGGGCCAAAACTTGTGGCCATCTTCACTTTGGCAAAGTATTTTATTCTGTTATGTGTTTATACAAATTAACCTTCACTCAAGATAAAATCGTTCTAAAACTAGTATCTTAACTATAATAATTCTTATTCTCATTTGGTGACATAGTAAACTAAGTTAAGGTAATGGATATAACTTTCTTCTATTTTATTGAAAATAGAAAGTTTTATTATTATCATTATATTTTACAACAGAATATAGCTATTACTTTTATATATCCACTAATGAGTAATTAATTCATATTCACTACTTACATTATTATTATTATTTTATATGCTGTATGGTAACATATTTCATTGTTTTACATGCTGTATGGTAACATATTTCATAGTTTTACATGCTGTATGGTAACATATTTCATTGTTTTACATGCTGTATGGTAATATATTTCATTGTTTCACATGCTGTATGGTAACATATTTCATTGTTTCACATGCTGTATGGTAACATATTTCATTGTTTTACATGCTGTGTGGTAACATATTTCATTGTTTTACATGCTGTGTGGTAACATATTTCATTGTTTTACATGCTGTGTGGTAACATATTTCATTGTTTCACATGCTGTATGGTAACATTTCATTGTTTCACATGCTGTATGGTAACATATTTCATTGTTTTACATGCTGTATGGTAACATATTTCATTGTTTTACATGCTGTATGGTAACATTTCATTGTTTTACATGCTGTATGGTAACACATTTCATTGTTTTACATGCTGTATGGTAACACATTTCATTGTTTTACATGCTGTATGGTAACACATTTCATTGTTTTACATGCTGTATGGTAACACATTTCATTGTTTTACATGCTGTATGGTAACATATTTCATTGTTTTACATGCTGTGTGGTAACATATTTTTTAGGGAGCTTCTTACCCCACAACAACACTACGACTGGGGGCTTCGAGCACTAAAGACGGTGCTTCAAGGATGTGGAAGACTTCTTCAGGAGACAAAAACAAATTTATCTGATGATGAGAAAGGTTAGTTTGTTTATACATTAGGTAATCATAAAAATTGATTTCAGCTTTGAAAGAGAGGTTTAAAACAAATAAGTACTGAGAACAGTATGAGTTGAGTAACAGTAACTGAGTTGAGTTGTTAGAAAACTGGTAATAATATAGATACAAGTAACAGTAGTTGTACTGAGTTGAGATGTTAAATAACTGGTTATAATATAGATACAAGTAACAGTAGTTGTACTGAGTTGAGATGTTAAATAACTGGTTATAATATAGATACAAGTAACAGTAGTTGTACTGAGTTGAGATGTTAGATAACTGGTTATAATATAGATACAAGTAACAGTAGTTGTACTGAGTTGAGATGTTAGAAGACTCATTATAATATAGATACAAGTAACAGTTGTTGTAGTGAGTTGAGATGTTGTATAACTGGTTATAATACAGATACAGTAGTTGTACTGAGTTGAGATGTTAGATGACTGGTTATAATATAGATAAAAGTAACAGCAGTTGTACTGAGTTGAGATGCTAGAAAACTGGTTATAATATAGATACAAGTAACAGTAGTTGTACTGAGTTGAGATGTTGAATAACTGGCTAATATATAGATACAAGTAACAGTTGTTGTACGGAGTTGAGATGTTAGATAACTGGTTATAATATAGATACAAGTAACAGTAATTGTACTGAGTTGAGATGTTAGATAACTGGTTATAATATAGATACAAGTAACAGTAGTTGTACTGAGTTGAGATGTTAGATAACTGGTTATAATATAGATACAAGTAACAGTAGTT